CCTGACAGCCACCCTCACGGAGCTCTCATCCGGGGCGCCCCACATGCTGGCAGCCGCGCCGGATCCCGGGGCCTCGCTCTCTCGCTCTCTCCCTCGCTCTCCGCAGGAAGACGCTGAGGCGCCCCGCCCGGGTGCGGGGCTGCGCGGCAGGGCGGCCGGCTCACCTCCGCCGTGCTCCAGCCATGTTGGGCGACTGAATGGAAAGGTGGGGGCGGCGGCGGCGGCGAGGCCGCGGCTGGAGCAGGTGATTGACGGGCGCGCGGGAGCCCGCCCCCTCTCCTCCCCCTCCCCTCTGCCACCCCGCACCGCCCTCGGGCTCGAGGGGCGGGGACGTGGCGACTGGAGCGCGCAGGCCGCGCCGGTGGCCTCCGGAGGCCGGCTGAGTGCGCCCTGCCCCCCTCCGGTGGGGACGCGGCCTCCAGGGTTAGCGGGAAGGACTGGGCGCCCGGCCTGCCCTGCCCTGCCCGGCCCGCCCGCCCCGGGCGCCCTGGGCCCGGTTCCCCCCCCTCTTCACCACCACCCCCCCCGCACTGCGTCAGCGCCCGCCCCCAGCCTGTGGCGAGGGAGTGGGCCACGCCCCGCCGGGCACTGCCAGGCGCAGCTGGACAGGGAGGACACGGGAGGGAGGGCAGGGACCGCTGCGGCCGCAGGCTGCCCACGCCCCGGGGCCACCAGCCCTGGGCTCCCTGCTTCCAGACTGCTGAGGGTGAAGCCGCCCATGCCTAGAAGAGAGGCAGACCTTTCCAAATCTCCAGAAGGCGAGATCACCAAGCAGCCGGCCGGGAGCTGACCAGCTGCTGCCCGGCTTTGTGGACGCTCGGTGCCGCCCTCGTGGCCTTAGCGTCCTCTCTGCAAGCTTGGACTTTGACCCCCTTTTCCTCCTCGCTCACAGTGGGCCGGTTTGGGCTACCTGGCTCCTGGCCTTTGTCCACCCGAGTCTGTCTCACTCTGCTCTGCAGCTGGCACCCTACCAGCCAAGGATCTATTCTGACTTTCTTGGTGTTTCTGTGCAATCACTGGCAACCCTGGAAAATGAACTGAACCTTGGTATTGCCCAGTGTTCCCAGAACTGAATTACAGCCATCAAAATGAGAAGTGCCTGAGCATGGGTGGCTCTACGCCTGTAATCTTAGCTGCCCAGGAGGCTGCGATCTGAGGATCCTGGTTCCCCCCCGGCTAGAGGAGAAAGTCTGTGAGACTCTGAACTCTAAGCATCAAAAAACCAAAAGTGGAGTTTGGGCTTAAATGGTAGAGTGCTAGCCTGGATCAGAAAAGGCTTAGAGACAGCATCCAGGCCCTGCCTGAGTTCCCACACACACACACACGAACACACACCTGCACATAAGAAATTGTGTGGCCAATATCTCCCAACTGATTCTCTCTACCTGCTGGACACCTCCCCCCCCCCAAAAAAAAACAACTTCTCCTGGTCCCAGGTTTCTAACAACATTATTCCAGTGTGGTTTTTGCTTGTCACGATTGTGGTACCACATACCTTTGGATAGTGCTGTGAAAGTCTTTGTTAGCTTTGCCTCAGAGAATCCTTTGTGGACCGTTCCCTACAGTTCTATAAATAAACATGTGGCTTTGTACAAAACAGGGTAATAGATTAAATGGCAAGATCTAAAGAAAGACACTGCCCAAGTATATATAAGCTAAAAATCACACACCTACTCATCCTAGTCAGCAGAGATACAAATGTGGGTCAAAAGAAGCAGCACACTTTGGAACAACAACAAAAGCAATGAAATAGTAAGATTTCGACCTATGGGAAAGTGCATATGTAATTATAGTTTCAAACATATTCTGTCTCTTAATCTCCCCACCTAGTAAGCAGTTACAGTGAATTTAAATAGGAAGAGGTAAGGAAGGTAGAGACGGAAGCATCATACTAAGCCAAATTAGTGGCAAAAATCTTGGAGGTAAGTCTCTGGAGAGTCTTTCCTAGTATATCTACCTCTCTATCAAAGCTGCTGTCTTTAATCATGCCCTGGCAGGCCCTATTAGAAGGATCTGGACTGGCCACTTTACAGAGATCTCAGCTTTGATGAAAGCTTCAAGAAAAGCAAGAACATAAAAGCAGAACATATTTAGCAAGAAAAAGACATTTGTACAATTTCTCTGTCTCTGCCTCTCTGTGTATGTCTGTGTCTGTGTCTGTCTCTGTTTGTCTCTGTCTCTGCCTCTCTGTCTCTGCCCCTCTGTCTCTGCCTCTCTCTCTCTCTCTCTCTCTCTCTCTGTTCCTCTCCCCCCCCCCCAGGCTGGTACTAGGTTACTGGGTTTGAACTCCAGGCCTGGGCATTTTCCCTTTTTTGCAGACACCCTCCCACTTGAGTCATATTTCTACTTCTGGCTTTTCTGATGTTTAAATGAAGATGCCAGTTTCATGATTTTCCCGCTCAGATTGTCTTGGATTGATCCTCAGATCACAGCCTCCTTCGTATCCATCTGGGATCTGAACTATCTATTAACTAAAATTGTCTTTCCCCACACCTTCCCATAATTGGCTTATTCTGGACTTTTCGCTATCAACTTGAATAGTATTTTGAAAGCAGCACACCAACAAAGGCCAGCTACATGATTGTTATAACCAAGTACAAAATGATAATGTACAAATGATAATATTGGTAGAAAAACAGAATAAAAATATTGCTCTGTGCATGGAAATATAGAGGTTCCCCTGCTTTCTTCCAAGTTCTCTCAACTGATTACTATTTTATTTAGTACTTAACATTACTCTCCATAAAGAAGATTGCTTGCATGACTTTTATAATAAATCTCTATATTGTTGTGCCTGTTTTAAACATAAATACAAGAACACTTAACGCATGTTAAAATCATAAGAATTATAGAATTCCTTTTTCCAAGTTCATATATGAATGTTTTTTTTTTCTCAAAAGAACAGAAGAAACATTGTACTAGAGTAACACAGAGTCAGACTCCAGTGGCTCACATCTGTAATCCAAAATACTCAGGAAACTGAAATCTGAGGATCCAGGTTTAAAGCCAGTCCAGATATACAGAGCTGAGAGACTTTTATCTCCAGTTCAGTAGCAAAAAGCAAGATATGTGGGTATGGCTGAAGTGGTAGGGCACCAATTTTTGAGTGAGAAAGCCAGAGGAATATGGTATGTGAGGCCCTGAGTTCAAGTTTCAGTAACAGAGGTATACACAACACACACACACACACACACACACACACAAATCACAAGAGGTTGACAACAGAGTATTAAGCCAATGGGGCCTTCTGAGCACAAGGCCCTCTGTGGCGGCTGGAGCTGGTAACTGTACCCAAAGCATTCACCATATTTTATCTCTTCTCAGTTCTATCACTAGCCGATACTCTCTTGGTTTTGTTGTTGTTTATTGTCTTCATTTCCCTACGAGCTCCACTGACAGTGGAGATTATTAGAGATTATTTCTGTTGTATTCACTGATATTTCTGTTGCTCCCTCAATGGTGTCTAGAATATAGAAGGTTCCATTAAATATTAGCTGAGTGATTGTGACTTTGGCATTTCTAAGTTTAGACTTTTTAACCTGTGATATATTTTGTCCGTGTACCTTATAGAGTAATTTTGAAAGAGTTGGGTTTTTCATTGTTGGTTTTGTTTGTTTGTTTGGTCTTTTTTTAGTTCTGCTAACTCCTAATGAATACACAATCAACTAATAGTTAATTTATTATAAGTATCTTTGCAAATATGGGGTGGTGTTTTTGCTTGTTTTTTTGCAGGTACTAGGGCTTGAATTCAGGGCTTTGTGCTTCCACTTTGCTTTTTTCACTCAAAGTGGGACTCTGCTATTTAAATCACACCTCCAGTTCAAAAACTGGAACAGCTTTATCCTGCTTACTTGGAAATAAGAGTCTCATGGATTTTCCTGCCTAGGCTGGCTTCAAACTGCAATCCTTAGATCTCATTCCCCAGAGCAACTAGGATTACAGGTGATGAGTGACCAGCACTTGGCTATGGAGTGATTTTATAAGCAGGTAGTGATGCTTCATATGCACTGGTCTAAGGCAAAAAGATTTATTCCTACACGCCCAGAATAGGCAGTCAAAAAGAAGCTACTACCTGCCCTAAGGTTAGGACCTCCCTGATTCACTCACTTTCAATCATCTACAGTTGTCTGATTTTCAGTTCTAATCAGTGATTAGCTCTTTCTTTTTTGCAGCTAGTAGAAGGATTAAAAGAAAAAGTTCTGATTATCATTCCTTTGTAAAAAACTGGTTTTGGCAAAACATGCCTAGACAACCATCATCTCAGAAATCTTTTTTGAAAATGACTTTTAAAAACTAACCTTTAATCCCATAATCAGAAATGTCAGTTAATTTCACATATCTTGTTTTGTTTTATAGGTTTTCTCATTAATTACAACCAAAAAAATCTTTTTAGAGCTATTCTACCAAGTCAGTGTATTATGTTAAATGCTTGACATGTATTATTTCAATTACTGCCCTAGAAAATAGGTATAATAATTTCTCCAAATTATATATATGAGAAACCTTCCTAACAACTTCTGTTAAAATGTTATCCTTATTTATGGCCTAGCTTTAAAACCAAACAAAGCTGGGCAACCAGTGGTTCATCCTAGCTACTCACAAGGCTGAGATCTGAGGATTATGGTTTGAAGTCAGCCCCAGCAGGAAAGTCTGTGAGACTCTTTATCTCCAATTAACCACCAGAAAACCAGAAGTGGAGCTGCAGCTCAAGTGGTAGAGTGGTGCTGTTCTGGAGCAAACAAAGCTCAGGGAGAGTACCCAGGTCCTGAATTCAAGCCCCAGAACCCACAACAAACAAAGAAATTTAAGAAAAGAAATTTTTTAGGAAATATGCTCTTTTACTGATTTCATCCCTTTTCTGGACATATATATATGACTTTTTCTCCTGCCAAATTACTATGACATTTTACGTATGTCTTCATTGTGGTGGTAAAATTCACTTACTAACTCCTCAAATAGATTGCAAGATCCTTAAGGGCAGAATTTGTACAACACCAGCAGAGCCAGTACTTATTCCTTGAAGAAGTAAGTCAGTGATTACCAGAAGAGCATGCTCTGCTTTCATTTCAACATAAAACAAGTTTTCATCATAGCTAAACTAGTGCCTCCTAGTTATAGTTCTACAGAAAGACTATTCTTAGACTATGGTATCTATTAAAGGTTGTATTC